GTACCAAATCAGCTGGGGTACTTTTTTGGTACCTTGAAACTTTGGGGTGAGACTTGCCAACACTTTTTCAATTGGTTATGCAAACAGCCTGCCTCTGAAAAACAATACAACCACGGTCTGGGGAAAAAAAAACAAACTCACAAAATATATAAAAGTTAAAAATAAATGATGAATACATGGACAAATGAAAAGACCCATGCTTTAATTGCGATTTGGATTGGAAAATTTTGAAATCGCTGTGTGATTTTGTTGAAATATCTTGAGAAAATTCAAGCTTTGCTTCCTATGGCAGATTAAAATATGTTTTAGTGCGACCTCACCCCCGTGTAATAATGTCTGTATGAAGGTATGAAAATGCCTCTCAACCTAGCTATCAGTTCATTCAATATAAATAACTGCATCTGGATAACATGCAATGTTGATATATCACCTATTGCCCAGTCATTTAATATACTATGGCCATTTTTCGAATTCACTACATAATACCCCACCTCGCACTGTGATGTCATTCAGCGACAGTTGCAGTAGAAAAGTGCCCTTTAAAATTGTAGTGATGTGTCTGTGTCCCCCTGCAGTCTAAAAGCATGTAGTGAGTTAGTTTGCCCATTCTGTGAGTGCGCTATACTAGGGGTGGGGAAAAAATATTGATTTTCTGATTAATTGCGATCCTCATTTTGAAGATTCAGTATTGAAATAAAATCCCAAGATCAATCTAGTTAATTTATGCCTTTTCCCTTTGATTTTGAAAATAATTTAGCTGAATTTCACTTAATTTTTACTTTGTATTGCTCCTGTTATCGTATCGCCATAGTATTGTGTAATTGCCCCGCACCACCATCTTGATGTAGGGCTGGGAGATATCATATCGATATTATATCACGCTTGCGCAATAATCACCAATGACTTTTGGACATCATACAAAGCCTCATTAATATTTTATCCATACTACACAAATTGTGGACCTAAAGAAATGTCCGTATAGCACCGAAAAGCTGGCGTCCGGCCAAATGTTGCGCCTGTCATCTGAAGCCCTGGTGATTATTGCGCATGCACGATGTGATAAATGACATTATATATAAGAATGTTAATTCTGTTATTTCAAGTGTTGTGAAGCAAATGAGTGACAAACACTGGAGGTGTTTTTATTTCTGGTTGTGTACAAGAATTGCAGGGGGAAATAGTATATTCAAGTATATAAGTTTCATGCTTATTTTTTTATCTTGTATTCATCAAATACAATTTTAACTTGAATCTAATCCGGTACATATGAATCGAAATCGAATCGACTTGTGGCCTCAGGGCTTATTCCCAGCCCTAGACAACACCTGTATGTTTCTCAAATAAAATGCTTCTAATTTCTGTTTTGGTATATCTCTAACTTGAAGGCCTTCTGAAACATGGCATGTTTTAGGCCTGCCCATTTCTATTTTCAGCTTTTCTTTTCAGTCATAAGTCATGTTTTCTGATTTGAAAGAGACTGGTTGGTTTTCTTTTTAAGGAGTTATACCCATGTGTTCCTCAAATAAAAGATATTGGTATACAGGCCTTTGGCCTTTAGTGGTTTTCACATTTCAACGTGACTCTGTATTTGTAAATTTATGTTCCATTTCAATATTTCTCTAAATATGGAAAGCTGCTAAATAGTATCGTACGTCATTCGTATCGGATTGATATCGAATCGAAAATGAATGGAATCAGACCATCTGTGCCAATACCCAGCCCTACGTTACCATGTCTAATGTTTACTTTGCACTGCTACGCATCCTGGGAAAGCCTCCCAGAAATGCCTGCTGTGTAAACTGTGATGGATGGATGTGTCTTTCTCTCTCATCAGTTTGATGCTGGCTGGTCCTCATTCCCACGAACCCTCCGATGGCAGCAGTCTTCACCCTGCTGTGACTGATCTCTTCTGTTATCAATGAGAGTTTGTGCTCCATAATGCCACAGGTGCCTTTTTGTGTTCCATGCAGCAGGGACCTGATGTCTGCCCCATGAGGCCTGCCCTCACATCCTGTGTCTGTACCCTGTCTGAGGTCTCCAGCTGAGGGAGCAGTGCCCTTGTTGCTAGTGCCACCGAGGGATGGGTTACCGTGACATTCTTCCTTCCCTGTTCCTGTTGCTCAGATGGGGTGGATGATTGGTTTAGTAGAGGCTGCTGCCAACTCCTTAGAGTTGGATAATTCTTCTGCTTATAGGTGATACAGTGGCTCTGTAGGCAACATTGCCTTCAACCTCCAGGGTCATGGGTTCGACTCCCACCTTCACTGCATGTGTGTGGAGTTTGCTGCTCTCCCTGTGACTTGTGGGTTTCCTGTGGGAACTTTGGTTTCCTGCCACAGTCCAAAGACTTGCATTTATGCTAATGGGCGTCTTTAAGGTGACTGTAGAGTCTCTGCAATCAGGGGCGCCGCTAGAGATTTTAGGCACCATGAAAGCCATGCATATATTGGACCCCCAACCCAAAGACCCGTCTCATCCTGGTAACAAACTATTTCAGCTTTTGCAATCAGACAGAAGGTTCCGCAATAATATGGCTATGACAGAAAGACTCAGAAGGAGTTTCTATCCCCAGGCCATTCCTCAATCAGGACACGCCCCTCTCTCTCTACACGGTGTTATAGTATTATTATAGTACTTTTATACTATACTCTACAGCAACCATCTCAGGGTGTCATACTCATTATTATCATTCCATACAATGCACTTTAACCTTAACTTATTACAACATATCGCACATCTGTAAATCTGTTTCAAATCCATATTATATTCAAAGTTCTATTTTAATATTTTATTTATTTCTCCTTTCTATTTCCTTTCATATCCTTTCTAACAGTTGCACAGTCAAAAGAGTGGTTCAGGATACATTTCACTGCATGTTGTACCTGTATGACTATGCATGTGACAAAGAATCTTGAATATTCCAAAGTTTTTGTAGAGGCCCCTTTGACTCAGGAGTCCTTGGGATCATCCTGACCGCCCCCCCTCCCCTTTACAGTGCCCCTGTCTGTAATGGGTGGATCCTTATGCTATTTGAGCATGTCACTGGAAAGTTCTATGGTAGCCTTAAGATTCCTGTGCCATGACGATCAGTGGCTTGATCAATGGTAGTGTGGCCCCTATTGCGTACAGAAATGGCATTGCAATACTGACATCGTCCGTCCGTCCGTCCCCCCCCCCGGGTTAGGCTGCTGCCTGACTCTGCCCCTCCTTTCCCTCTTAAAGTTGCCTTTTTATGGAGAGTCACTTTATTTACTTTTGAGTACTCGTGGCCCCTTCTGTCGGCCCTGTGTCCTCGGGCTCTGGGTTTCTTAGGCGCTTAGAATCAATGCCGACTATAAAAGCTGGACAGAAGCACAGGAAGTGCCAAGTTTGTCATCTCTGACACTTTGTCTGCTGAATCTGCAGCACTAACTTTCCCCCTGTATTCTAGATCACTTTCATTTGCCCAGTAAATGTGTGGTGGTTCAGCATGAAAATCTTATGTTGTCTTCAACCTTTACCATCCGCCTCACTGAATTTCTTCTGCTTCTGTTCCACTTAAAGCACTTGCTCTATTTTGTTATGTTGATCCAACAAAGTCCCTCATGATTATTAAAATGTTTGACATTCCAGCTTCCTTCCGCTCTGCTCCTGATTCTCCATGCAGCTCCTCCCAGCGTTAATTATAGTAAAGTATCGCTCTCCTTTTTGATGACAGGGAAACCAGGGTCAGCCAGGCTCCATGCTGCTTTTCCATATCTTTCAGTCTTTGAATATTAATGTGGGAAAAGCAGCCAGACGGTGTGGGGTGCCCTCCAAAGCTGAGCCGAACTTCACCAATTTTTATGGCCTCTTGAGTAGCTGTGTGAAGTTTCCCACGCGCATTTCCGCTCGGTTCCTCATGCTTACCTGTGTTTAGTAGCTCTGTTACAGGGTTTGATCACACACACATAAACTCTCCCCGCCTGCCTGCAGCTCTGGTGACTGACATTGATTTCATTGCAGTTTTTGTCATACTTCATCTGCAAGAATTCTGCAGCTGGACACTGGCTGTTTACCAATATCACGTGTTTTGAGGGGTGCTAGGTGCCCACATGTGTCTCCTAAAGACTGTTGTTCTGGTTGAAGGAGGTTTTGGTGTCCTTGCCCCCTTCTGGGCCAGTAGGGCATCTGTACAGGCCATGCAGGTAAATCAACAGTAGCCTCTTAAAGGCCCAGCCTCATTCATTACCCCTTTAAGATGGGCTGCACAAATTCATCTGTTTGTCATTCGGCAGTGATCCGCTGTCGCCCTGTGCAAACTCCTCAGGATGGTCTCTAAGCAGCTGGAACTGAAAGAGCTCAGGGTTGTGAGAAAATAGTCTGTTCCCAGCTGCTGGAGTGATTGACTGTATCCATTGGATCATTAATCTACTACCCTGCCGGAAGGGGATCTGAACAGTTACACACACACACATGCACAGCTTTGGTGTATGATGTACCCTGGCTTGGGTATCGGTATGGGGCCGCTGGAATTTGTGTTTTAATGTGTGTAATGCTTGTTTTCCTCGAACGGGCCTTTTGCTGGTCAGTCTCGTAGCAGTTGCACAGAGGTTGCATTTCCTTGTGAGGAATACATGCGAGGCTGGAGCCTTTTGCAAGCCGCCAACAGGCTAAGCTTTGGGGAGGGGGGGGGGGAGACGCTGTTGCATCACATTACATCAACATTGTAGAATTCTTCTCTGCCTTTTCATTCCCGGCCTATGGGTCAAACTGAAGACTTTCGCGTTTTACAAACAGCAGCATGTTTTGCAAAGTGCTTTCGAACCCGTGATGCCCTTGTCTCAGTAGCTGTAGATTAGACTAGGCTGGTACATCTTAGGGTTAAAATGTTGTCACTGTTGAATCTGCTTGAAACAGCCCCCAGTCACTACAATATAGGGAACATCTGGAGCAAAGGTCCCGCTCTGCCGTAATGCTGCTCCGCTGTCGCTTTTAATAACTTTGGTCAGTACTTTTTGCTTGTCCTGTCCTCCCCGCAGGCCTACGAGCTGTCCACGCTGACGGGCACCCAGGTCCTGCTGCTGGTGGCCAGTGAGACAGGCCATGTGTACACATTCGCCACACGCAAGCTGCAGCCCATGATCACCAGCGAGACGGGCAAGGCCCTCATCCAGACGTGCCTGAACTCACCCGACTCACCGCCGCGCTCAGATCCGTCCAGTGACCAGCGCATGAGCGCCACGGGCTTCGAGGAGACTGACCTCACTTACCAGGTGTCCGAGTCAGACAGCTGCGGGGAGAGCAAGGTGACTACCGCCTCATGAACCCTCCTGGAGCCTGGTTCTCACACCTTCCCTCATCCTGTGCATCATCCTGTCCTGAGATTGCATGTGCGAGTCGTGGGAACTTCTGCATGCTCCGGACCGCAGGAGAGTCTTAGACTGCTTGTGACCAGTACCTGGGGCTTGTTGCGATTATCCGGCACAGATCAGGCTGCTGAGATTGAATTGGCTTTTTAAAATAAGGAAAACTCATATTTTTACATATGACTGTCAGAACGTGATTACAAATGAATGAATGACACTTTTAATTATGATGCACTAATTTAGGGTGACCAGATAATCCATGTCAGGGAGGACACTTTGAGCTACTTCGGGTTTTACAAACTACTTTCAAATTGAAAGGTTCCTTTGCTCGCCCAAATAGTTCAGCTTTTCTTGTGCTTGACTGAAAGGCTCATCCAGCTGTTTCACATTAGCATTAGTGACATATGCATGATTATAGGAGACTGACCAATCGGCAAACAGCAAGAACTCGGTGCTCAAGTGAAATCCAGGTCTGTTTAATTGAAATGGTAATTTACAATTCCTGCCCTAGCTCATGTGTCCTCCCTGACATGGATTATCTGGTCACTCTACATTAATTATTAATACAAGAGTGTGAATAAGGATGGATGGGCAGGCGCAGGGATAGTGTGATTTTTATTCCTGTCTGGGATACCGGTAGTGTAAGAGAAAATCATTGATGGTTTCAGGGTTTCAGGCAGATGGAAGTACTTCTCAAAGCAACAGGCCACAAGGAGGCGCCGCAGGACACCCTGCCCTGCCTGACACATGGAGTTATATGTTTATCTGTGTCAGAGGTCATGGCCGATGCAGTCCGGCATTTGAGTTTGTGACTCCGCAGTGCCTTGAGGTTGCTTGGTTTTTTATTAAAGAGTTGTGATCCTCACTTGACCTTATTGTCTCCAGCGCCCCCAGTGTGATGTGCAGGGTTGTGCAAAAACGAAGCTTGTCTTCATCTAGTTTTCATCACAGCATTGGTGACTCAGGTGATGTACTGGTGAGGGATTTAATGCCCCCTGGTTAGGAATATGAGCTTGTTAGTGTTTCCATTTGGAGGCTCCCTGCTCTGAGTGAACCATGTGACATTTGCGTCTGAGTGTGCAACAAGGCTCCATTCTCGAGCCCCTTTGCTTTACGTTTGCATTCCCCATGTTAATTTGTCTTGCCCCCATCTGCCTGTGGGTTACAGACTTAACTACCCTTCCAGCTTCTCTCACTGTTAGCTGCTTGATTCGCCCCCACCCTCCCCCCAGTTTTTGCGCCCAATGTGCCTTCACGCCTGAGAATATCCCGCACACTAGGTGGGTACCCACAGGCCTTGTGTGAAGCCATCGGTGTCTCAGGTTTGCGGTGACACTCTTTCGACACCCTGTATGCTCTCTATACGCCCTCTTCGATGGCCCCATGAGCTGTGAGCTCTCACCCCCCTCAGACAGACCTGCGTGAAGCTCGACGCTCATTGATAAAAATGAGATTCGGCCTCCAAGCCTATATATGGTATGCTTTCCCTGGCTGCTCTCTTGGCCGGGCCTCTCGCATTCCTTATAAGCTGCAGCTGTCTCTGCCTTTGGAGTCCGTAATAGGGCTTCTCCACCCCCCCGTCCCCCCTTTTTTTCATTTGTGCAAGCCTGTATAGTGATGTGGGGGGGGGGGGCTTAATATTAAAAGGGGGAAGTGGAATGGAAACATTTGGCGGACATGTTCCCTGATCATCCATCATTTAACTCTCGCCGTGCCAGACTGTGTGACAGCTGTGTGGGAGCTGGCAGAGGCTCCAGATTTTCTGTAAACATGTGAGGATGCGAGGGGGTTGGGCTCTTGATAGCGCCGGCACATGAAAGCTCTGCAAATGACTTCGTCCACTACGCACGGCAGCGTTACACACACTAGCCTGCGCTAAATTAAAAACCATTCCCCACTGAATGAGTGGCGATAGATTGTTCTAATGGTATAGATGAGATCGTTTTAATGTGAAGTGGCCGATTTTGGGAGGAAGAGCCTTCAGCGGGAAAGATCCTACTTTTGTGTGGTTCCCCCCACAATCTTTAGGCATCAGTCAGCTCCTTATGGCCTCGCTGCCAGCTCTAATGTTCTTTTAACTACTTCCCCCTCTAGTGAAGCATGTCCGTCAACTAAACGTCACAATAATTTCAATTCAGTACCCCCCCCCCCTTCCCCATCAGGCCTTAGTACCACTGCTAATTTCTCCCCTGACCAGTTGCAGCCCATTCTCGAGTGGGGATGTGAGGGGGTGGGGTGCTGATTAAAGGCAGATGGGAACGTCGGCGGCCGCCTCTGGCTTTTTACTGCTCGCCTGACACATCAGGTCAGGATCCATTTGTTGCAAAGCTGTCACAACCTGGAAGGATGCCAGCCCCCCAATCCTTCCAGGAGGTGCTCCTCAGCCGAAGAGCAGGGGCCTATGCGAAACCTGCAGCCCTGGCTGATTCTACATGGGCTGCTGAGCTCTGCACAATCTCCTTACACAACCTGCAGATTAGCTCATCCCTGTGCTTCTAGTCCTTTCTTTGTGGATGGATTGTAGACGGGTAGAGGCCATGTGCAATCTGAATGCAGTGGGTTACGCCCCAGTTTGCAGGCAGTAAGTTGAATGTTGTGTCCGGTTAGATGCGATTGGCCGTTCTCTTGTGTCTTCCTGTACACTTTATGCTTCACAGAAAGCCATGCTGTCTCTGAGTTTGTATTTAGCTGTTTTCCAGATGTTACAACAAAATGTCAAGGAGTAATGTCCCCTAAAATCCCTGGACGTCTTCCTTAATGTTTGGTGCAGTTCGGTTTGGTTTAATCTAGTCCATTCTACTTATCACACGGTGAGAAGTTTTCCGAAACGTTTCCACGTGAAGTCTGGGAAGCGTCCCTACCTGGGACGTGGTGGGCCTCTTAAGTCTCGACCATCGAGGGGTCCTTTGTTAGGACGGCAGGTTCCAGGAGCTCTCCCTGTGCGGAGGCAGATTGGAGAACCTGACAAGGATGTCGGCGTGAAGCCTCATGAAAGCGATACTTCGTTTTACAGGGACCTCAGAAGCCCAAGAATGTGCTGCTGTGGTTTTGGTAAATGGCCGTCTGGCGTTTGGCTTCATTAAAAAGAGCCATGTGGCTTGTGGCGGGTAGAGAGAAAGTTCATGCGTACAGGATTGTTCCTGGTTTTAACATGGCGAGTATTTTTAGATTCCACTAGGCTCTTTTGCAGTTGTTCCTCACGGGCAATCGATACGAGTGTGGCTGTTCTTCGTCACGTGAAGCACTCCACTTTGGAATGTCTCTGCATACTGCAGCGAGAGGCGACTCTGACTATGCTGTGAAGTTAGGAAGGACTCTGTCTTGATTCTTTCCCTCAGATTTATTTTGTACCACTTGAGCACTCTGCTGGCTCTCTGGGGATGCTCCCTTACCATCTCCAAATGTGACTGCTAACTGTAGTTACAGCTTTAGGGTTTGTTTCAGCTTTGGAATGAGCTGCTTTATTTGGTAACTTTGCCCCATCTGAATAGATTCCCTATTTATAATATTTAATGTTAAACGACAGCAGCAAGGGTCTCCTCAAAGATAGTCTTTTTCTGTTTGGTTCTCTGGACTGCTAGATAAGCATCTTGCCGGCCTTCAGGCCGCGGATGTTGCCTAGGGCCCTCTGAAAAGCTGGCACTCTGTCACTTTAAGCGCCGGGGGAGAGTGAGCACTCCTGGGGATGACGGCTCAGTGTCATTGACATAATGGAAAGTCAGTTTGTAGAGATATGCGGCCTTATCACACGGCTGTGCCTAAATCGGGCTTCTGCTCACAAGGAGGGGCTGGGAGAGCAGGGGGGTTGATGTCCGAGGGGGAAGTCAGTTGTGCGACGGGTGGGCAGGACAACCCCCCCAGCGGGACAGGGCGACAGCCATTGGCCGAGCCTCTCCGAATTGGGCTGCCTTACCTTTTTTAGCTGTCCCAAACGGAGCTGTGAATTCCAGCCAGCTTGGCAGAATGACAGGCGGAGAGACGGGAGCTGGCAGATGGAAGGTTATGACCTGGCAGGGGTCATGGGGGGTGGGGCCTCCACCTGAAGCGAAGGGAACCTGTTGCCACTCCTCTTCCTGCTGCTGGTACCTTTTAGCAGCAGTACTGGCATGCAGATGTTGTGCAGTGTTTGGATAAATCTATTAATGTTTGTGTTTAAATATTTGACTTACTGTAAAAAAAAAATTCATAAAAAATAGCCCCCCCCCCACACACACACTGTCGTGTTTTTTTTTTTTTTAATTCTCAGAATATTCCCTGCTTTGACCCTAGCGTATCAGAGGGGTTCATTTTTATGTCCAATATAAGTTCCTGGCCCTAGGGGGGTTCTTGAAAATACACTTTGTGTATATTTATATAAATGTCAGAAATGGAGTAAGAGGGCATTGTCAGCTGTTATTGTAAGGGGGTCGTCTCTGGGTGTGTTAGGATAAAGGAGGCAGGTCCCAGGGAGGGTGCCTTGGGGGTGCCAGGCCAAAGGAGAACGGCGATGCACGCTGGCCCAGGGGTGTCACTGCGAGACTGGTGGGTTGGTGGGTCACAGCACGATGATCCCCGGGCTGTCATGGGCACTTGAAGTGGTGTGGTCCCCCCCAACCCCTCTTCCCACCCTTTGTATTTATTTTAGGTTGAGGGGTGTGACGATTTCCAGATTTTTAATGTCTAGGGACCTCGTTGGTTGATAATTAAGAATCTGTTGCACCAAGCCCTTCTGCCCGGTCCTGTTGTTGCTGCACCTGGCCCTTTCGTTGGGACGTGACCATCAGCCCCCTCAGCGCTGAGGGGGTTAAGGTGACACCCAGAGCGCTCGGGTTTCCCCCTCAGCTGTCTGCCCCCTCAGCTGTTTGTGCACTCCCGCCCCCCCCACACCCCTGCTGTGCTGCAGCCACTCTCTGCTGCCCCTGGTCAGAAGGCCGCCTGCCACCATCACTGCTCTGTGTTTAGGGGATGGGTTCACCGACCTGTGCGCTGAGGCCTAGGCTCTGAGATTAGATAGTCTGATCAAGTGGCTGGATGAATTCATGAGGGTGGGGGGTCATCGAAACTCCAACCGATGTCCAGCCACAAAGAGCTTATACCTCTTGGCCCCCACCGGTCCCCAGAGTGCCCCCTTCCCTGCCATTTTGGAGAGCGTGCTTTGCTTGTGCTCACGTCTCCCTTGAACCTGTGCTGTGCATGTGTGGTCACACCCCTTAGCTGTTTAGGGTCATGCTGCTGAGAAAGTGTTTCTGGGGTGGCACTAGAGCTGGCAAGATTTATCAGTGACCCCCCCCACCACCACCACCACAATCCCCCCCCCCAAAAAAACACACACACTTTGTTTGGAGACTTGGGCAGTGTGAGCAGGGAGGTCAACAGACTCCTGTGGGCCCTTTAATTGCTTCCTTCCCTTTCTTGTCCCTCATGCTGCTCTGCGTATAGATGTTGACTCTAGATTGAACGCCTCAGGCCCCGGGTGGCTTCTAAACACCTTTATTGCAGTAAGTCCATAGCCTCTGCTCAGACATTTCAGCGCATTACACAACATACACATCACAAGGCAGCCTCTCTGTATTTATGCGTTTGTGCCCTGCCCTGCTTTCTGCATTTCGGTGGTCACACAGAAACTCTGCGATCCTGTTGTAAGCTTGCTGCATTTGCAGAAAAGGGCAGGATCTGGCTTGATTGCTGTTTGCCTGGGAGCCAAATATGTTTTGTTGCTTAACTGATCTGGTCTTGCACAACAAGGGCCAACATCCCACAATGACGACACCCTCATAATTGTAGATATGGTCTTACCAGTACCTTGTGACGATCATATTTCCACTCCCACGTCGGAGATGTTACACAGGTAGAATCCTGATGTTGTACCAGTGGGCTGTCTGGGCGACATCACCTCAAATGTACATGGGATTTCCATGGCAGAGCAGGCGACCACTTCAAAATCAGTTGGTACGGCAACCTTGCGCTGGATGTTGTCATGGAAACCTTTGATTACAGAAAAACATGGTGACAGTTTCTGAAATGATTAGTGGCCTTGAGTGCCAGGAGGCTGGGATGCTCAACACAAATGAGTTAGTGTGTGTGTGGTCATGGTGCTGCACAGCTGCAGGGTCTGTGTCACGGAACTTTCCTTTCCTTTTTCTCTTCGTAGCACCTGCTCTCTGCTGGTCCCTGTGCAGCCCTTGCATGCTGTTGATCACTAATTGCTCAGGGTCTTCTCGTGTAACCTGGTTTTGCCGTTAGTTCTGATTGGTGCCCTGCTCATTTGACCCATGGTCTCTGTCCTAACCCTCTATCACTCCCCGCAGGATCCCCAAAAACCCACATTTACTGTGGCCAGCCTGCCCTCAGCTGCCTCCACCACCAGCACGTCGGCTTCCCTACAGGCTGGTGGCGGGGGTGGCGGTAGCCCCTCCTTCCCCATCACCACATGCTGGCCCATCTCCATGGGAGCCAGCACCAACAGCGTAGCCAGCGCCAACGGCACCGTGCTCAAGGCCTCCGGCACCTCGGGGGGGGTCATGCAGCTGTCCAGTGGCTTCACTCTCATGTCAAGTAAGTGTGAACAGCACCCATGGGGTGGGGTTGGGGCATCAGGGGAGCCGATTGAGGAAGCCATGCTGGCTTGGGTATCTAGCAGCCTGTTGCCTCAGTGTTCATGGATTTGCTAAATAAGAAGCTGGTGAGGAAGCCTCCCCTGGTCACCTGTACACATGGCACCTACGAACTTTCATTGCTGTCCTGCTTCGCAAAGTTTACATGACATTTGATACTGATGTTTTAACCGGAATGCTGGAATTTATCCAGGGCCAGGTCACGGAGACAGCATTTTTAGCAGAGATGCCTAGACCTCCCTCTCCCCAGCCACCTCGTTCAACTTCTTGTGGGGGACAACCACATGCTCCCTGGCAAACCTAAAGGTGTAATCTGTCCAGCGTGATTCTGGATCTGCCCCGGGAACATGCCTGAGACACCTCCCCAGGGAGGCATCCAGGAGACATCCTAGACAGATGCTTGAACCACCTCAGCTGGCTTCTTGTGATGTGGATGATCATCAACTCTACTTTGAGCCCTTTCTGAATATCCAAGCCCCTCACCCCATCTCTGAGGCTAAGCCCAAACACCCTGCAGAGGAAGCACGTTTCTGTCACTTGTATCCACAATGTCATTCTTTGGGTAACTACCCAGAGCTTGTCACTATAGGTGAGGGTAGGGACATAGATCAACCAGTAAATCGCTAGAAACTCTGCTGCTGACGCTGTACCTATCAGCTTATCGGTTAGCCCCTCCATTTTTCCCTCACTCATGACCCAAGACCTCAAGATACTTGAACACTCAATGCAGTAATTCATCCCTAACGTGGAGGAGAAAATCCACCCTTTTCTGGGTGAGAACCATGGCCTCAGACTTGGAGGTGCTGATCCTTCTCCTGACCACTTCACAATTGGTTGCAAACTGCCCCAGTGCATGCCGGATAGACAGCTACTCGAGTGGATACATGAAAAACAAAGATGTGATCAAGAAATCACCAAATTAGAGACTTTCCACCCTTTGGCTGCAGCAGCTAGGAATTCTGTCCATAAAAGTTATAAACAAAACTGGTGACAAAGGCAGCCCTGGCACCAGGAACAAGTCTGGCTTGCTAGATGTCAGGGACCTAATGGCCCGTAACAGCAGGTCGTGCACCCCATACTCCTGAGCACCCCCCGAGGGACACAGTGGTATGCCTTTTCCAAATCCACAGAACACATGTAGGTTGGTTTGGAAAAGTCCCATGAATTCTTCAGTATCCATGTGAGGCTGAAGAGCTGGTCCAGTGTTCTGTGACCAAGTGTTCTGTGGAATTTGCATTATTCCTCCTAGATTCAAGGTTTGACCTACAGACAGACCCTCTTCTCCAGTATGTTGGCATAGGCCTTCCCAGGGGGGTTAAGGAGTGAGATCCCCCTGAAGCTGGATCTCGCCCCCTGGTCCCCATTCTTAAAGACTGGGATCATTATCTCAGTCTGCCAATCCAGAGGCACTGTCCCCAGTCTCCACACAATATTGAAGAGGTGTATCGGCTAAGACTGGAACTCATCCACCCCTGTAGCCTCACCACTGATTAGTTTTTTGGACTACCTCAGTGACTACAGCCCTGGTGATGGACGAGTTCTCCAACTCTTCTTCCACTAAGGAAGGTGTGTTAGTGTGGTTCAGGAGGTCCTTGAAGTACTCGTTCTGCCACCCATTATTTCCGAAGTTGAGGTTACCCACACTCCTTCCATGCTGTAAACAGCATGGGCAAAGCCCTCCTTCCCCCTCCTGAATTGCCTGACTGTTTGCCAAATTCTGTGTGGTCAATTGAATGTCATTCTCTATGGCCTCAGCGCACTCCTCCCACACCTAAGTTGCTGCTTTCGCAATTTCTAAAGCTGAACACCGCTTATCCGGTTGGTGCCTGTCAGTTGCTTATGGAGTCCATAACCAACCCTGGAAGGCCCCCATCTTCAGCCTGATGGATCCCTTTACTGCTGGTGTCCACCACTGGCTTCAGAGATGGCTACATCTCTGCATAGCAGCCTCAACAATGGAGACATAGAATATTGGAGATTTTGAGCCTGAACGGGCAGTGTAAGGTCTCCCAGACAAGTGCCTCTGCTAAACGGTCCTAGCACACCCTCACTACAGGTTCGGGTCTACCAGATCTGTCTGGTGTTCTCCCTTGCTATCTGATCCAGCTCTCCACCAGGTGGTGGTCAGGAGACAGCTCAGCTTCTCTCTTCAACCAAGTTTCCAAGATCACAGATCCGATGAACCTATTACAAAATTATCGACCTACAGCTAGATGCCAATTGCTCTTCTGAGCACCCATATCCTCCAACAATGTGTTCATTATGGACAAACTGGTTAGCACAGAAGTCCAATAATGGAGCACTGCCATAGTTTAGATCAGCAGGCTGTTCCTTCCAGGTTTCATTGTGGTTAAACAACTCTCTCATTCACTGAGGTGATCTTCAACATGAACTCCAAGGGCCAAACTGCGGGACTACAAGTAAACCCTCTCCTACCCAAGCCTCTCTCCTAGGACAACCTAGGGCAACTCCACAATGGAATAAAGTCCAAGCCCCTCTCATGAGTTTAAATCCTTGAGCCCATTGTCTGTGTTGAGGTAAGGCCGACTATATCTAGACTGTTATCTCTCCATCTCCCACACCAGTTTGGGCTCCTCTCCCATCAGAGAGCTTACATTCCATATCCCTAAAGTGTGTTTCGATATGTGGGGATTGGTCTCCCAAGGCTCCTACCTTCATTTGTAACCTGATCCACCATGTACTGGACCCTGCTGCAGGTGGTGGGCCCCTGGGAGTGCTGTTCCATGTGGCTCATTCAGGCTATGCCTGGCTAGACCCTAAGGTTGAAAGCCCAACAACCAGGCTGTTGCTGACAAGTCCACCCCCAGACCTACCTCTAGGGTGGGGCCCCATTATCCTTATTACAGGCAAGGTTTCTGGTTCTTTATGTTCATCACAATGGTTGATTGAATCACCCTTAGTCTAGCCACTCAATTAGGACAAATTTGCCCTGGGAGACCCTACCAGAGACGATTGTTCCTAACATCATAGCTTGGTTTGCCATCACTGTGAAACCCCCGCACAGGGTCGTAGGCCACCAAGGATCTACTACATGTTGAGTTTAGAGGATCAAATATCTTCCCCTTAAATCTATAGTTTGGCCCCCTCCTGTGCGTTGTACAGTTTGGACCTGGGTCTGGTCCACATCGTCTTCAGCCGTTTGCGAGACCAAGCCTAGCTGGGATCGGGTGGATTGCACCCCCTCTCCTGGTGTGTCATGTGGTCCAGTGAAGTCCCAGGATAAGGAGATGCGCACACCGAGGTCGTGTGGGTCTTCCCCACTCCTGCCTGGCCGTGGGCTTTCCATGGTGGAAATGAAGAGACCTTAGATGTGATTAGCTGTTCCAAATTGAAAGAAAATGGCCGGGAAAGCTTAAGATGATGGGAAAATTGCACTGTAAATATGTTTTTGAAATAGTTTTATCAAGTCTGTATGATGATGTAATTGCGTACACTACAGGCATCATGCACATTCTGTAAAATGCTGTTTTCCTGTACTTTGCTTACCTTGCATTGTGTTACGCTCAGACCAAAATTTGTGTAATGCATTTTGTCCTAACAGTAATAATTTGTTTTTGCAAAATACATCATGTTTTTAAATTAGAGAATCAATCACTTGGCTGCTTAGCTGTCCAGGGCCTGGGAAACAAGCTATAACGGTTTAGTTACTTAATACTTATGGGTCCTAAATTAAATATTATTTCAGTTATTGTATTAATTTTGAACACCTTCATACATTAGTATTTGGACCTCAGCCTGCACTTCAAAAGTGAAAAACAGAAACTCATGTGACCTTAAGACAGGGTCGTGCTGGGGGAAATCTTGGGAAATCCATTTGGGATGCGAGGAGCATCAATAGAGGCACGTAGAGATGCCATGATACCACGGGGGGTGCATGGGGCTGGCCTGGCCTGTTTACTCATGAATATTTGATGGGGGCTTTGGGCCTGTGTGGTGCAGTGCGGGAACGATGATTAAACTCCACTTCATGGGCGCCCAACTGGGAGGGCAAAACGGGGCCCTTACTCTTAGCGGACCTCACAGCCCTCAGAGAAATTAATCTGGATGGTGAGGAGGGGGCCTTGTAAGCGAGGCTGGCACTAATTTCAGGAGAACTGGAGTCGTTAACCTGCAGTTCAGAGGGCAAAGGCTCCAGGAGTTTGTCCCACGTCACCATCATCAAAATTGCACTGAGGATCCACAGGCCGGAGAGCGACATCGAACTAGGTACCTCTTTTGTGTCACAATTACTGGCTGATTGATTTGATAAGTCAGAGGCAGAAAGGGCAGTGCTGGTGGCAGGTGTTGATTCGATATGATCGCTAGGTTACTGCTGAGTTGCATCCTGTCTAACTCAGAAGCCAGAAAACAAGCTCGACATGATGATGCAAGAATGACTGATTTCTCAAGAAAAGCAAGGGGGGCATGTTTGGGTACTGGCAGTTCCTGGCTATGTATGATATCATCTTCCTGAGATGCTTGGAGCTGCTTCCATGGAGATTTGTGTCAGGCCCTTCAGAAGACAGCTCTATTTAACGCCAGGGCCCAATGTCATATTTTCACGGACTGTCAGCGTATGGCGGACCTGACAGGACAGCAGCTCTGATTCGTGGGCCCTCTGACCGCGGGCGGTGCAGCTCTAACGTGGGCCCATTCTGTCTCCTCATGGGGCTCCATAGCATCACCAGCTTCATCCCTCCTCCCAACGCTGTGCTACCCAACAGGCAAACCTGATCGTTAGTTTTGTGTTGTTCCTGGAGTCTCTAGGTAACTCCGACTGACGTTAATGTCAGACCATGCGGGGCTGCATCTGAACTGCCTCGTAACGTGATATTTCGCTGTTTATCCTCCAGCTAGTGAATGACAATTACTGTTTTAAGGGCACAGAGGTCCTGAAGGTCACTGAGATGAAAGAGAGCTCAGTGCTTAGCTTATGGCTAAGGGACTCTCACCGTGTGGGATATGCTGGTGTCGTGGCAACCAGGACCACAGCTGCTGGTCTGTTCTGAACCCACGTGTGTTGAGCCGATGTTGATGGCTGTATCTGTTCTGCAGGCACGCCCCTTCCCCCTGGCACCCCCACCATTCCATTCAGCCAGCTGCAGCCCCATTCGCTGACCATCCACGGCCAGCAGGGTCAGCCCATCGGCACTGCTGCTGCGGGCGCCCCCCCCCAGACGCAACAGGCCCAACAGGCCGTCTTCCGCTTCCCTGCTGCCGTTTCACTAGCAGGTCAGTGTCTGTGGCGGTGTGACTTGATGAACTGGGGGTGTGGTTCTGTGACTTGGGTGTGATTTATGCTTTGGGGGTGTGATTTAGTTCCATTGTGGGTGTGGCTTGTGGCTGAGCAGGGTGATGTGGAAGGGGGTGGTGAAAGAGCCTGGGAAGGTATGAGTCAGAAGGATGAATGATGGGATGTTGCTGGTGGACTAGAGAAGATGGTGAATGACAGAAGATAAGGAGGAGTGTGTGACATTGAGAGAGGGTGGGGAGTCAAAATGGCTGCCTGTGTTTTGCGGATTCCTCTGGTCACTTTTTCATAGCACGTGTCATTTAAAGAGCAGGCTTTATCCTACCTATATAATTTTTATATTTCTGTGGTGTCTTTCTGAAGGAAGAAGTGACATAAACACTGCAGGTACAGTTCTTTCTCACTACAGCAATTGTTTGGCTCAGACGGTTAATGATTTTTAGCGAGTTTTTTTGTTCAGACTTCTAATATCAGACTACCTGTCTACAGTCATTGGTGAAAGTTTGCAGCTATAAAGTTACAGGTTGGAGCGTGATGGTTCATTGGGCGGTGGTTGTCTGCACCTCACAATGCCACCTTTTGGGGGGAAGGTTGTTAGTGCTTCAAAAACAATATGTATCCGACTCCCCAGAAGATGCTTCTGCTGAAGCCAGACTTCTCATTTATTGGCCCGCGTTTGTCATAGAATCCTGCTGTCCTTCCCATACGGGGGAATGCATGGAAGCGGCATAAATCCGTAGGGAGTGTTTGTGCTTAGTGTAACAGATTAGCAGCGGTGCCTTTTCTGCTGTCATCATCGCTGCTGTGCACCCGCAGGTTTATCACAGGCAGCATTACTGCCGGCAGCCTCATGGTAGGGGGCGCTGCTGCTTGTGGGCTAATAACCGTGGGTATGGGTGGGGTGGAACCGACTGGGCCCCGGATTGAAAGGTTGAACTCTGAGTGGGAGTGACTCGCTTTTGTCTCCACAGGTGGGGGGGTGCCCCAGCCTTTGCAGGCCATCCAAGTTCACCCCAGCGCGCAGCAGAACTCTGTGGCCACCAGCGAGAGCAGCCCAGAGATGTCTCAGGCCAACAGCAGCTCCTCAGGTAACCCCACTGCCTTCCACTACCACCGTCACATGCAGCATGTGGCTTCATGGGGGGAATAAAATCCACCCAGACAGCAAAGTTACGGGACGGAGGTGGCACTGCCAGGGCTTCGTAATGCTTCATAAATTTGAGCCTGGTTCTCAAGTGCGTTTGAAGTAGAGGTCGACCGATATGGGTTTTTCAATAGCCGATGCCAATATTTAGGAGTCAGGGTCAGCCGATGGCCGATATATGCTACCGATATTTTTTGGCCGCAAATTGGACGTTTTCCCCTCTATTTGCATGATAAAATATCACACTAATAATAACAAACGATACACAAAATTTCTCAACTTAGCATTTATTGAATACTGAAATTTAAATATAAAACAAAAACACAATACAACTTGTAAACAACTTAAACTTATAAACAATAAAAATAGCAGCATCAGAATCTCTTTAGCAGCAAACTCCTTCTTCAGCTCCCAAGCTCACCAGCCGGCAGCAGATATCACACCTGGCTTTTCCTGGTGTTGGCTTGGTGAAATGCTGCCATACAGGATTAGATTTTTGTTCAGCTATCAGACAGCAATTACTAAAGCAGAAGAAAATGCAAGGTTAGCATTTTTATTATAGTGCCTTCATCTTCAATTCATTCTGCAATTTCAGTATTCCATGCACATAAAAACAATTACACTCTAATACATTTTGAAAGAAAAAAACACTAGTAACTAAGTGCATCATGGTATGATTAGTGTACAAGGCCCAAAACCTTTCACTAACATGTTGTTTATGTTGTTAGCAGACAGATAGCTAACAAGCCAAACTCACAATCAGAATCTAGCGATCGTGGAAAATAAAATAAAATAAAATAACTTATTACACAGCCTTGTATGCAAGGACAACATAAGCCCCTAGTGATTGTGACGTTGTCGACGTATATGCCCGTATAAAGAATAGACATGTTTAATGAGGAAACTAACTGCGCAAAGTCGTGCACTTTTTATCTAGACGTCTGACAAATTGTTCGAATCTCCACTCTCAAATGCAAAAGAGTTCTTAGCATGCATTGTACTTAGCAGCTCTGTGTCTCCGAAGATGGTGCTGTCTGTGATCAGGGCAGAATAACGCAACTCTCACACACGCTGCAGTGTTTGAGAGCTGCCTGCTCCGCCCCACACACACACAAAGTGAAACTCTCCGACACAAGAAAAAAAACAGAACTGATAACATCGGGCTGATATGGTAATAATTAAAATGTTAACAATTAAAAAAATTTTTAACAGTTAAACGTTTGTGAGCCCACCAACAAGCGCACAAAACTAACTCTGTCAGAATCAATGATCCTTAACGTTACCTGTAAGCTACAGTTGGGAACTGGGGTAATAATGAGCCTTCAACCGACAGCGTAATTCGCGTTTTCTTTTAAAGCAACATTTCATAGCAAACCAGTTAAATAAATAGGTCATTGAAAGATCAGAATTTAAGCCTTACCATTTTCTCCCAGGACTCTTCCAAAACTTCTGGCTGGGGTCCTGCACAAGGCAGCATGGGCTACGTGTTCCACAGCAACAATAACACTGGGCTGCCCGCAGACATGCCTGTCTGTAAATCGGCTTAGTGCACTCGGATATCGACCGATGCCGATACATTAAAAAATGCTAAATATCGGCCCGATATATTGGCCGGCCAATATATCGGTTGACCTTCTAGTTTGAGCGGCTCAGTTTTGCACCCCCCAACGTGGGGAGTTTCACCCTGCTCCCTTTGGTCCACGCCAGCACCTCACGGCCTCATTGTGAAGCCGTGGCATGACGTCCGGCTGCCCAGTATCTGCCTGGCAGTGCCATTTCTGATTCTCTGTGACCTCTCTTACCGATGGGGGTGGGGGGGGCATTGTCATAAAATTGTCGTATGAGCTCGTATAACATGAAGAAAAGCTGGGCCTGTAAGTGCTGTAAGCTGAAACCATGCAGAGCCGGGTATAAATACTGAACGGATAAAATATTTATGGGTGGCGGCCTCTCCATCCGGCAAATGGGTGAGGTGGTGCCGGTGCTCTTTGCTTCGTCCTGTTTGGGTCGAAGGAGGTTCCCCGTGCTGCTGTGTGATTCCTCATGCCCTGTACTTGGCTCGTCCCCATGACCAGCAGGGATGAGTTGGGGTGGGGGGTGTCACTGCCCTCACGCGCAGAGGCCGTCTTCATGCTCACATCAGTCATTCCCGCTTGCATTGCTGGGTTTTCACAAACTCGCGATATGAGTGAAATGTGACAGATGGCTCATCGCGTTTCCATGTGTTTCTCACTCAGTTTAAGCAAAAAGCTTTGCTTTTTGATTGGCAGCATTCCTCAGCATGTCACCCCGCCCCCCCCAGTGTCAGGGAAAGGTGCTGAGTTATGTTTTCTGTGTCTAGCTGGTTTCCTGAGCCCTTTGGGGTCGGTGCAGCTAGCTATGCCAGGTATGGCTCTGAGGGTATATCGGCCCTAAGCAAGGTGTCCGAACGCGGTTCTCTCTTTGGTTAAGCAGGCCCTGGAATTTTCCAGGTTACTTTCACATGAAGTGAAACCAGTGAAGAAACGAATTCAGGAAAGCCTGCTAGCACAAGCCTGGAGAGCAAAAGCGAAAGCAAGCAACGTTATGGTGTCAAAGGCACAAAGCACAGCTGCATCTTCCAGCTGGGGAAAATAATTTATCAGTGTGTACTGACAGTAGGGCTCCACAGGGGGGGGCGCTTGTATGTGTAAGCTGTAGGAAACAGCAGTGTTTTTGGAGTGAATGCGTATGGTGTAAAGTATCCTCAGCCTGCCACTGGTTACAAGTCCCTGCACTAGAAATTGGAAGCTATTAAGCACCTGTAACTGGAGATCACTGCCCTCTGCTGGAGCGGAAGTGTCAAATCCAAGGCAAACAATCTGCCAGCTGTCTCTTAGGCGGTGTTATACTCCCACCTAGTGGGAAACCACGGACACTGATTCAGCTGAGATAAACGATATGTGCGCTTATTGACTTAATATGCTAGTGATTACTACCAGCTGCCTAACTGTAGTGCTGAGTCATTTTCGTGTCCAGATACAAAATTGCTTCATTTTGGTATTTGATGGTTTGGAATTGGAAACAGGGCTCACTGACGATGAGCATTAGCAGGTTGCGCTAAATAAATCCCTCACATGTTTCTTCACCCAACCTCAGTGAGCCTGCCGGCTGCCATCGTCACCTCATCGGTGCCCACTTCAGTGTCGGGTCATGTGATGTACCACAGCCCCCCCACGGTGATGTACACCTCTACGCCCACGCTAGCTGATGGCAGCGGCCTGGCCGTCCTCAACGCCTTCTCGCAGGCCCCCCCCTCTATGCAGGTGTCCCACGCACAGGCCCAGGACACAGGTGAGCCCCCCCATCACTGTACCCCTCCTTCAGAGGCGCCATGGGCTTGGGGTCCAAGTGCTTTTAGTTTATTCATTTCACAGTTAGCATGAGGAGTGATGGCAGATCTTTTGTACAAACCGTCTTGTCCCCCCATTCCGCCAGGTGCCCTTCCTCAGGTGTTCCTCACAGCCCCCACTGGAGCAGTGCAGATCCCAGTCTCAGCAGTGCAGCTACACCCTGTGAGTTATACTGCAGTCCCTTGGCTCATCCTGATTTCCTTGTTGCCATCTGTGTGCTGCTGACTACTGTCTGCTTGCTTTCACAATTCCAAGCTTAATGTCAATCCTGAAATCTGATGGACTGTGTGTGTGTGTGTGTGTGTGTGCGTGCGGGGGGGGGGCAGGGATGTGCCTATGTCTATGTGTGGACGTGTAATCAGGCAGCCCTGGACAGCTCCCTGCCATGACCTATGTTGTCTGAGACTCCCGTTCTCACTCCCTGTCGCCCCCCCCCTTCCCCCCAGATGGTGATTGGCCAGCAGTCTGGCGGTAGCAGCAGTAACTTGACAGAGCTGCAGGTGGTCAACCTGGATGCGTCTCATAACACCAAGAGCGACTGAGACCTGCCCCCCCCCCCCCCCCGCCATGCAAGCGGGGGCCGGACAGTCCACAGACATAGACTGCTACCACTATTTATTGATGCCTTGTCACAGTCTTTTTCTACACATCGGTCCGTTTATGTGTGCCTGTCTCTCTCTCCCCGTCTTGTGGGTCTTTCTGATCTTTCTGCGTGGACGCATGTGTGTGCTGTTCTGTTCCTATTTTCGTTCTCTATCGCAGTTTCTTGCGATGTGTATACACTGCAGTTCCTGCGGCTTCACATTTTAGCCAAAGATGTTTGTGTGCGTTTGTGTGTTTATAGGATAAGAATGGGAACCAAGGCTGTGTGGGAATGTAAATAGTGTTTTTCTTTTTTATATCAGGCAGGAATTAATGTTTTAATTCTGTCTGCGATGGCCGTGGCTGTTAGCTGCGTGTGAGCGAAGGGGGTGCTGTTGATGCAGATTAATGTGATAATAGGACAACAGAGGCGGAGACCGAAAGCGGGGGGCCAGACCCGGATGCTTTTGTTTTTATTTTGACGGATGTGCCAAAATCCTGTCACACGAGGCTCCCAAGGAGGTGGGGCATTGTGCCTGTGACTCTGCTTGCTGGGCGGGTCAATGCGTGGTTGTCTTGGGTGGCTGAGCAAGACGTTACAATAACGTCACCTACTGTCTCCCTCGGTCCCCAGTTGGCGAGATGCTGGAGCCAGGATCTGCTCTGTCAGAGCCATCCTGAGGCTTCTGATCCAAAAACTACTGATGCATTGCAGGGCCGGCTCAGTGCTGAAGGTGGACATCACCGGGTTCAGTCAAGCTCCATCTGACTCCCTCACTGGCCCATCCCTCGTAGCATGTCCCGCCGATGTCGGCCGCTTTGGTGCACAAAGGTGTTCCTCTCCTGATCAGATGCCACCTGAACCAGGCTGACCAGTTGAACTATCTGTGCAGAAGGGCACAAATAAATATATATATATTTTTAATTTTGATGATTGTTATGGGAAATCGTTTTTCTTTCAGAATGAGTTGCAGAGGTGGAAATTTCAGGTCCAGAAAGAAGCCAGACCAAGATCTTGTTTCAGCCGACCAGTTGAGTATAAAGATTCTGAGTACTCATCTTGTTTGCTAAAACAAAATCTTGGTCTGGATTTTTACTTTCTGCACCTGAAATGTCTACCTCTACAGAGTTGTTATAAGCTGTAAAAGCGATGCATAGACTGTGCAGGGGAATGGCTTCTCTCACACGTGGAAAATTCCAGGGAGGTTCTGACCCACTCTGGATCAGCATCATGGGCAGGCCAGTAGGTCCAGCCCCGCCGAAGAGGCTCGGGATTGGCCTGTGGGGCAGGTATGAGTGTTCAGCTCGGCATGTGTAACAATGACCGACGCAGCCTTGCATTCATGGCTTATTGGCTTGAATGGGCACCGTCACTACCTCTGGTTGGTCACGCACCCTTGGTGTCGGTCACCAAAAGAGGGGACACTGCTGCAGTATATGACTTTATTTCTCTACTGTCTCATTTTTGGGGAAGTTTTGCTGTTTTATTACAGTGACCCCAGTCTCTTGTGATTTTTCACTATCCAGCCCATGCATGAGACACGTCTTCTCTTAACCTTAAGAAGGTTCTGAGACATTCATTCATTTATTTAAATGATTTCTGACCTGTTGGCATCACCTTTGGTGTTAAGGGGTTTTCTGCCTTGATGATCCTGAAAGAACAGGTAGACACTGACCTGTACTATCAGTACAGTTTTTGTTTTTTTGATCATCAGCCTAAATTAGGCTGATGGGAGCTGTACTGGTGATGTTGGATTGTTTTGGAACGGCACATTATCCCCTGAGTTTCACTCTGTGCCTCTCTCGTTTGACTCCTTGTAAACCTCTCTTAGCGCTCTCTCTAGAACTCTGCAAGTGGGCATTGCATGGTATGATTCCAAAACACTGAAGGGCTGAACACTGAAGCCAGACCTGGCATTGGCCAAACTGTGTTGGAGGGTGGGAGCCGTTTGGAGTGTGACACACGGCTCTTGAATGTATTGAAAGATTCATGGGGATGTAGGGGATCCCGCAATCAGCAGACTGTGCCATTTTCCGTCCTCTACACAAGGCCTTGTGCTTTGTCAGCTAGAGCTGCGAGAGGACAGCCTCCTGTGTACAATCGTCCCCATCTAGGGACCCAGATGAACGCCCCTTGAAACTGAATTGGATTTTTAAGATTTTTTTTATATATATATATAATATATATGTATTGGATTTAGTATTTTTGCCTTTCAGGTGTGGTGGAAGTGAGAAGCTTCAGATAGCCATTGATGTGTTTTATCTCCATGGCTGTCTAAACCATGGCACTCCTGTTTGTTACCACTAACTACCACATCAGGGCTTTCATTTTCCTTTCTGTTGTACTTTTGCTCCAACCTATGGACCTTACATGCTATACACTATGTGTAAGCACTTGTAAAAGACTAATTTCTGTTTTGGAGAACACAATAAATATGGAATAAAAAACTATCTATGCATCTTGGCCCTAACATTGGTTATTTTGAAGATTGGAAGTTTTATCTTCAAAGGTCCAAAGTGATAAGTGATGGTGATCTAGATGGTCACCTCAACCCCCCCCCCCCCCCCCCCCCCCCCCCCCCCCCATGAGCAGATAAAGAATGAACTTTAATAAATGACAGAATTGAATTGGAATGTACACCATATGTATTATATGTGCTAAGTAAAGAATATTTTTGTGTTGTTTGTTTTAACTAACTTCCAGAGATTATCTGAGGAGTTAATGTATGTAACACAGTAACTCTGTACAGAGCATTGTTTTTTTTTTTATTATTAAAATACAACTGCTGAAGTGTGTCCATTGAAATTTCTTAGCTCATGAAAACTTTGAACCATAATGATGGCCTGATCTCAGCTAATTTCATAAAAAACAAGCTGTCAAAGCAAGAACAAATTTTTAGACTGCCTGACATCTGCATTCAGGGATTTTCTGACATATCTTATTTAACTGTGTAGTAAAATTAAGGTTCTTAAGATGTTTAGCTACTTTTAACAATATGGAACAACTGGGAAAAATTTTGACATATATAAGCATAAAAGTATTTCATGGAAATATTGCAAAAATATCAAACATTGTATCCATCCCTTAGCCAGAATCATTAGTAGTTTTATATCAATTTGACAGATGTGCTATTTTTTACTGTTTTAGTTGAGTTTCTGTGAAGTGTGCTTGACAGCACCATGCTTTTAAATGATATACTGAGTTTTATCTATCCGTCCATTTTCCATGAGCCCTTATTTATGTCAGGCTTGTAACCCTGAAACCCGAGGTGGGGCCAGCCTGGGTAGGGATGCCATCTGTGCTTTAATGTTCGTATCAAATGTGCTTTTATGCAAAGGTTTATGTGGAGCACTGAGAACATTTTGGTCTTGGACACAGTGTCAACAAGTTGATCTAATTTTTATCCATTTTCCAAAACCATTTATATAGTACAGGGTCACATGGAGCCTGAAGCCTATAGCAGGAGGCAGAAGGTATGAGGGAGGGGACACCCTGGATAGGACACTAGTCCTTCGCAGGGCATACTATTACACACTACTGGCAATTTCAAGAAGGACATTGCTGCCTTAGAAAAGGTGCAACGAAGAGCTACGAGAATGATTCCTGGTCTTAGAGGAATGTCTTA